AAGGAGTCCGAATAGCAGCATTCTCTGATAAACCTGAATATTCTCTACTACGATATCCTACCCGTCTGCTAACCGAGGTAATGGTAAACCCTCTTATTTAGAGGAGGTTCACAGTGCAGTCGCAGCATCAGTGGACTGTCAAGGACATACGTATTTTTTTTTAAGGGGGGAAAATCATCGAATGACTGCTCCCGCCTGGGTGAGGCGGGAGGGAGTGTCAGACTCTTACTGACTAAAAACCACCCCGTTCCTTCTCCTGCACGTCGAGCCGGAGCCCCGGTTACCCGTTAGGTTCTCCGCGACAAGGACATACGTATAGCATGACAACACGCCTTTTTATCCCCGAAGAGGTAAGCAGAGGTGCACATTACAGCACTTAATGCCACTGTACAATGTAACACTCACTTTTCACTTTATGAGTCCCATGTAGCGGGGGGTGAGTCTGTTGCCATATACCGGGCACAATTCCAAACTCCGTGCTACTACTGAGACATTTTTTAAAAACCCAGTAATTCTTTGAATGTCGAGGACTATAGATGAATCTACATAGAATGACTTTTCTGTACTTAAATTCGTAATATTTCAAATGACGTTCGTAACTTGTTACGTGGAGTATCCAATTAATCAATTATCGTTATTTATTCAGCTGTTCTTGAACATGAATTTGATAAATATACTTACTGACTACCTCTATCATTTAAATACAAGAAATAATAGTACATTACAACAGTACCAACATTTCAGCATGATTGAACAAGTCTTCGGTAGTATAGTGGTCAGTATCCCCGCCTGTCACGCGGGAGACCGGGGTTCGATTCCCCGCCGGAGAGAACTCTTTTTGTAACTTTTTCGATAATTAGATTAGGATTTTTCATTCGTAGGTAATTTTTTCTGTACCTACTGAACAATAATGAAATGTTATGTATCTTCTTAAATATTTATGCATTTTAGGATTTGTTATTTACTCATAAACTGCTGATACAATTTGCATGGAGTTTGATTCTGAGATAGATATTAGTACCTGTTGAAATATCATCCTCTAAATTTGTTCATACAAAAGTAGTCTCTAAGCATCGGAAATAAGGTCTATAATCACTATAATGTAGTTAGTGGAGAGCGGTCACCGGTGACCGCTTGGGGATTTAGGGGGATGGATTATTTTTACGTTTATAATTTATTTTCCTGTTGAAATCCAACAAATAAAAACACTATGAAAAGCTGTACGGCCTTTTATAAGACATATAATGCGTAGTCAACGTAACATTTTAGAGTTATTTTATTGTTATAGAGGAAAACAAATTGAGCTACCCTTATCTCATTCGATAAATAATAGATTTTCAACTTTATACCATCGCGTTAAAGTTGACAATCGACTTTTAGGCGTTGTTAAACCGTCTGCGCTACACTAAATAGAACCGAAATTTTGCTCGAAGTAAGCAAGTCTTCGGTAGTATAGTGGTCAGTATCCCCGCCTGTCACGCGGGAGACCGGGGTTCGATTCCCCGCCGGAGAGATCTTTTTGTTGTTTTTCTATAAGAATTATTTGTATTATTTTTTTATTTAATTAAAGTAGCATGTAGTTAAGATTATCATTTATCATTAACAGGTTTCCTAGAATAACAAATAATTAATTATTTTTTTACTAGCTGCGCCCGCGACTTTGTCCATGAGAAATAGTGGTTCACGGCTCCTCCCCGTAGTTGATAGCATGATAATATATAGCCTATATATTGACCCGACCTGTTAGTAATATTCATGCAAAATTTTAAGTATCTTCCATGCAGCGCTTTTTGAGTTCATCCCGGACATATATACAGACAAACAGACAAAAATGCCAAAAACCATATTTTTGGCTTCGGTATCGACTGCAGATCCCGCCCCAAGTATTCTTTAAAAAAAATATTCAGTGTTCAATTTTGACTTTTCTACGATTTTATTATATGTTTAGATAACTTATTTTTCATGTATGTACACAAATAAAAAAATAATACAAATAATTCTTAGAGAAAAACAACAAAAAGAGATCTCTCCGGCGGGGAATCGAACCCCGGTCTCCCGCGTGACAGGCGGGGATACTGACCACTATACTACCGAAGACTTGTTCAATCATGCTGAAATGTTGGTACTGTTGTAATATACTATTATTTTTTGTATAAATTTAAATAATACAGGTAGTCAGTAGGTAAGTATATTTATCAAATTCATGCTCGAGAACTGCTGAATAAATAACGATAATTGATTAATTGGATACTCCACGTACCAAGTTACGAATGTCATTAGAAATATTACGAATTTACCTACTGAAAATTAATTTATGTAAATTCAGCGACCATGAAACCTTCAAGAAAAGGGCGTATTCCTCTTTAAAAGGCCAGCAACGCAGCTGTGACTTCTCTAGTGTTGTCCATGGGCGGCGCTGATCGCTTACCATCAGGTGCTCCGTCTGCTCGTTTTCCTCCTATTCCACAAAAGAAAGAAAAGTCCTTGACGGTCCACTGGTACTGCGACTAGACTGTAAGCCTCCTCTACGTAAGAGGGTTTGTCATAATCTTTACAGTTAGCAGACGGATAGATAGCATTTGAAAAGGTTCAGAATGAAGCTTCCAAAGTTCCTTGTGCGTACTGCTTAGGAGTGGAATTCTTTGCCAGAGTCTGTGTTTCCTGAAGGGTATAACCTGGGAGTCTTCAAGGCCCGAGTGAATAGGTTGCTTATGGGACGACGTGCTCCATAGTAGACAGCATTATCGCTTACCACCAGGCGAGATAGTGGGCAAAAAAGGATTATCAAAGAGCGCTGTAGCTCAGTGTCTGTCAAATGTGTAGTTGTACACCGTGAAATCGAGAACCTAATAGTAGGGGAGCCTATAATGCTAAATTGGGATTTACTTGAGCGTCCTTGGGACCTACTGGATTTTGAAGATATGCTGATAGAAAGAAGAAATGGTTTAGTGACAATTTCTTCCACCAGTGGGGGAAGGGGGAATCTACAGATCTTTGAAATTGTTAAGTGTAACTTTTGTTCTAATGGTCGAGCGTGTTAGATATTGATAATGTACATGCTCCATGTGTATTTAATAATAAAAAACTCTTAATCTGCCAGTTTGCATGATGGGGTTGAATTTTCTGGAGAGTACAAACGAGAACCCTTCAAAATCCCCCCACTCTTGCAAATCAAGTTGGAATGGGCAGATTTTTTAAACGCACTTCCTTTAGCACGGTATTGACCTACCTTCCCTTAATCTGACGAAACTGACTTTATTTAGTCAGACTTTTTTTTTAATTTTCAGTCCCCCCCTTCTAATCAGATCGGATATATGTTGGGTATATTCAACATGACACTAGGTTTTCCCCATATGTTAATCTGACGCGCTCGAGTAACTACCGAAATCCCTTCATGGGCTCCCCTACTAT